CTTAAATATTGATGACAGTTGTTTCTTTTTGACGAGTTCTCCCCTTGATCATTATATCATGCCCAACTTGGTCCTACTTACCTTTTTTTTGGTTGAAAGTCTAATTTATCTGATAGGAGAATAGCAGTTCCTGATATTTACTCTGTGATTTGGCTTGAAATACTTTGCTCCAACCTTTCACTTTTTGTCTGTTTGTTTTTTAGTTGGCGGTGAATTTTTTGTAGTATAGTATTTTAGGGTATGCCTTTTTATTCAAGCTGTCATACTGAGCCTTAAAATTGGTGAATCCAGAACCTTCACATTTTGATTGATTATTAACATATGAGGTTTATTTTGCTGTTCTATGTTTTGATTTTTGGTTGGTTCATCTTCATGTTGTTCCTTTTTCCATGAGTTTCTGTCTTTTCATTTGGATGGCTTTCCCTAGTGGTTTTCTCAGTTTCTTCTTGTCTTCTAAATGTCTCTATTTTGGGTTTTTGTTTTATGGTCACCATGATGGTTGTATAAGAATTTCTGTATCTGAAATAGCCCTTTTTATGCTGATATTGTCTCATCATCATTTAACTATATTCTATCATTTTCTGCCTTCCCTTTAATACTTTCTTGCCACAGATTATTCTTGTTTCTGCTTATGATTTCCTTTTACCATTTTCATCTTGTTCAATATTTGGTGTTTCTTTTTTTGTGTAGAAGAACTCCTTTCAACACTTCTTGTAGGGAAAATCTGATGCTGGTAAATTCCATTAGTTTACATTTGTCTGGGAAAGCCTTTACTTCTCCATCATACTTGAATGTTAATTTGCAGGATAAAGTAATTCTTGGCTCACAGTTTTTATCTTTTAGAATTGTAAATATGTCATTTCACTTTTATAGCCTTGAGTTTTTCTGTTGAGAAATCTGATGATTGTCTAACTGAGGTACGTTTATTTGTTATTTTTCCTATTTTTTCTCTTAGCAGCCTTTGATTTTTTCCCCTTCATTATTGACTTTTGATAACAACAATGATGTGTATTGGTGAAGGTCATTTATATTTTGAAATTTGGGTATTCTTTCAACTTCCTGGTCTTCCACATTCATTTCTTTCCTTAGATTTGTGACGGTCTCAGCTATTATTTCTTTGAAAATAGCCTCTGCCCCTTTCTCTCCTCTTCCCCTTCTGGAATACACATTATCCTCATTCTTGCTCTTCTAATAGAGTCTGATTTTTTGGTAGAATTTCTTCATTTTTTCTAAATCTTATTTCTCTCTTTTTTTCTTGGGTCATATGTACATTTGTATCTTCAATTTCCAAAATTCTCTCCTGACAACTTAAGTCTACTCAAGTTGCTTATCCATATTTGTCTTCATTTCATTCAGTGTCTCTTTTGGCATGACGTCCATGAACCATGAGGAAGTTCAGGAGGAAGCAGATGGAGGTTCAAGTCAGCTCATTAGAGTTCTGGGGGTGGAAGTGAGGGACAGAACTGAGTTTACCTCCCAATCCTACCCCTGCCGTGAGGTGTGTGTGTTGGGGGATGCAGGCAGCTGGATTTCCATCCTTCACATGTACAAGCTCTTCCATCCCTTGGCACTCGACCTGGGTGGCCTTTTGTTCAGGGCAAGGACTAGGCTCAGTGCACAGGAATGGTAATGTCAGGAACTTAAATGACTTAAGAACATTGTCTAGATTTCCAGGCAGGAGTGGAACAAAGTGGAACATGAGGCTGTAAACAGCTTCCTTGGCAGGAAGCAGTGACCCAGAGAGTCTTGGGATGACAAGGCTGGCAGGCAGCCTACAGATGCAGGAGCAATTTGTATTTTAAGGTTGGAAAAGACTGATTTTTCTCAGTTGATGAATAGACAATTCCCAAGGGAAAAATTGGGCTCTTCCCCCGCCTCCCATGGCCTCTGGAAACAGGCTCAGTTTTTATATTTTTCCCATGTCAGTGAAATTCCCTTAGCCCAATGCTTTTCAAACTTGAACGAGCATGCAGGTAACTGACCTTGCTAAAATGCAGATGAGGTTCATCAGGTCTGGGGTGGTGTCTGAGATTCTATGTTTCCAACAAGCTTCCTCCTGGGGGATGGTGAGGCCTCTACTGGTGGTGCTTTAAAGAACAGAGACCTAGAACCTACCTGGTCACCTAGAACTGTGGGATCTGGCCTTGCCCATTTTTGTGGAAGACACCAATTCCTGTTTCTATAGCATTGAAGTAGACTATAACCAGCGGTATTTCCTTCTCAAGAATCTTAGGGAATATAAGGAGATATTGCTGGAGAATATGTATTGGTTGCTGTATTTAATCATTTTAAAAAAATAACTGTTGTACTTTTGAGTATATGTTCAGGGTAAAATGATAGCAGTAGCTGCCATGTGTAGTCAAGTTGTGTTCAGTGCCATGTCTTTACAAAGCATTGCCTTGACACACGTCCTGTGTCTCCCATACGGCTGGGGTAGTCTATAATAGTGAATCTTACTGCAGAGAGCTTGGCAGTCCAATCATGAAATGAGCTCACATGTTATGTTCAGTTGATTTGATCCGGCAGCAGCCTCTTTAAATGAATGGATTACAGAGTCATCTGTAAAAGGGACTGAATCCATTGATTATATTCTGGGCATTGGATTCAGAGGACATCAGATAGAGCTTTTCATTTGAGTTTCCTGGGTTACAGAAATTTGAAAACCAATTCCATTTTGATGTTTTGTCCCTTTAGAGGTATATCAGATAATTTCTCTCAGAAAGGGAGTAAAGGCTCAAAGTTCATTCAGGATTGAACTTGAAAATGATTTCAGGACAATTGAGGCTTCCTAGCATAGTATGTACTTATAAGCCCCAGTCCTTTGTTTGATGTGGTACATCCCCAGCCAGCAAGTGGTATTTTTGTCAACTTCCCAAACTGATGGTAGTAGTTTTGTTACAGGGCAGGGAGAGGGGCACCCAAGACCCCCCAAACCTGCCTCCTCTAAATGGGTTCTGCCACCTACCGCATCAACACAAAACATATGAGACTTTAATGAAAAGGAACTTTAATACAACTAGGAAACAATACAGGAAAGGCAAAGAATATAGTTTCTAAATCACCCAAAGTTACCCGTCCCCTCGTGGGTAAAAATCCACCCAAATGGGATTGGCCCAGAGCAAGGCCCCAAAGCCCGCCACAAGTCTAAAGCATCTTCCAGTGGGGACCCACAGAAAAGGATCAGAAACAACCTGACAAGTCCGGAAGGAAAAGAGCAAAATCAAAATCAAGACAAAGACCACCATTGTCTTGAGCTCCCCATGAGTCTCATCCACATCTGTCTCCCAGTCCATGACCAAAAGGCAAGCACAGTTTCTTCATGTGTCTTGGCTCCATGCGCCTCCCCTGGGTCTTCTTCTGGCTCCATCCTGCTTCCTTCCTTCCTAAGTCTCCTCTGCAGCTTCTTCTCTCCCTGCTCAGCTACACCCTTCCTTGGGTGGGGCCGGGAACCTGGAACTTCCCCCTTTCCTGGAGACTACCCTGTTACAGTTTCTGATGAAAAGATAATCATGTAACATAGAGCAAACTGATCTTCCAAAATTATTTTTAATGGATTGGAAGAGTGATTCAGTTAATATCTCTAATGTCTTAATTTATAGGTCACATTTCATCCCTGAAACATTCCATGCGTCTGCAAGTGACTTTGATAGAAGCAGAAATTTATTTTGTCAAACATCCTAATGACGACTTGGGAGGGTCTTTTCTATTCTGGTTTTTTGTTTGTTTGTTTGTTTGGAAATTTACTTAATTAGATTTGACTGACATCTCTCAGAAGTTTAGAGGGAAAAACAATCTAACCTACTTAGAAGTCCTCTAATCCAACCAACTCATTTTGCTGATGCAAAAACAGCTGGGGAGGCGCCTTCCTGGTGGTGGTACAGGGGTTAAAGTCTCAGCGCTATCAAGCTAAAACCAGCCACTGTGACACGAGTTGGATCCCAGCCAGGGAGCTGACCCACATGGAGCAGCAGACCTCTCCTGTTTTGCCCATTGCTCCCCTCAGCAGTGTATCTCAGTAGATCTGCCTGTTCTGCTCCCCACTGTGTCTCTGGTGAATACTTTCACCCCCTGCACCTCTGGCCTACACCCCAGTTCTTGTATGCACAAATTAAAAAAAACAACAAAGAAACAGCTGTTGAATTTGCTCAAGGTCACATGGGGCTAATTTTGAATTGTAGTCTTGGGCTCCCCTCACTTTCACCCAGAAGCTTTCTATGTTGGTTTATGAATGTAATTTGCTGGCTTTGAGACCTGGCAATAGGTTCCCCCTTTTCTCGTGGGAGTCAGGGTATTCAGTCTGACACAATTTATTGTATTCAACACCATCAGACCATGTCTTCTAGCAGAGTCATGGGGACTCACCAGTGCTCCAGGGAGACAAAGTGGTCTGGTAGGAGCCTGGATTCTGCAACGAGGTGGCCTGGGTCACATCCTACCTTGTTCAGTAATTTGTGTGACTTTGGCAAGCCACTGAACCTCACTGTGCCTTACTTTCCTTAGATGCAAAATGGGGACCCCTTATGTAGCATTGTTGTGAGGACTGAATAAATGAACACTTACAGAGCAATGAGAGAGTGAGGAGTCAAATATATTCTATGTGGGATATGAGGGCTTGCAAATTTTGAGTCTCCACAAGGTAATCAATTATGAAATCAGTGTTTCTAGTAAATAACATTAAAAAAAATTAAATGGCATATAATAGGATGAAATAGAAGATACCAGAGTGCACTGCAGCTATGAATGATACTGTTTGGTGTTTCTTTGCTCATTTTAGTACTCCTTTGGCTTTGTGTGTGTGTGTGTTTGTGTGTAATAACTCAGAGTGTAGAATGCACTTCTCACTGTGAGTTGTGGTGAAAGGGTTTAGAAGTTCTTGCTCCAGGGACTGGAGTAAGTGAATCCATTTCTCCAAGTACGGACCTCTTGAGGTGAATGAAGCCCACTTTAGACATAAATATACAAGGTGAGCTGTGGCTGAAACAAATGTGCTTCCTTTGCAGAGGGAGACGAAAGGGCAGTTTCTCATCGATCACATCTGCAACTACTATAGCCTACTGGAGAAGGATTACTTTGGCATTCGTTATGTGGACCCAGAGAAGCAACGGGTAAGAGTCAGCCGCTGTCTGGACCCACTGGAGAAGTGACTCAGGCTGTGGGGTGCTGAAGAAGATCCTCATCCCCTCTGAGCCCCAGCTGTGCATGCTTGTTCTCAGGGTTATTGGCTACATGAAACTGACTGCCTAGTATGAGTATATGAGGGAAAGGCTCTGGCATGGTCCCTACAGACTGGGTGGTGTTGGAGAAGGAAAATCTACCATAGACTTTTCCAGAAAGCTGCTCCCACCTGGTTGAAGAGAAAATGTTCTTGGGTGCCCTTAGACCAATATTTGCTAAATTTTTTCAAACAGTGGCCGCATCAAATCTCATTATAGTGAATATCCTCTACCTCTCATGATAAAAACTACTGGTAGAAAGTTGAATGGGGGAGTGGGCTTGGGGTTTTCGTTAGGGGTGATAAAATGTCTGGAATTTGATCTCGGCTGCAATTACATGATTTTCTAAATGTACTAAATGTCGTTGAAATGCACAATTGAAAATCATGAATTTTGTGTTATGTGAATTTCATCTCAGTTGAATGAAAAGGTTTTGGCAGATGAAGAGTTAAGATACTGTGAAAGCTGCTCCTTGGGTGTCACTAAATTTGACAGGCCCTCCCCCCCCCCCCCCCGTCGTATCCCTGCTCCTGGACAGGCCTGTCCTTCCTGATACTGGTGGTTGTGTGAGAATGAGCAGGGGAGTCATGTCTTTCGAGCTGCCGCACCAGTCTCAGTGTGTTCAGGCCTGCGCCGGGCCAGACTCCCAGTGATGTGTGTCCTTCACACCCAACAGGCACAATGAATTTGCATCCCAGCTCTCACCACCTGGGCTCTCCCATTCCTGCCTTGGGTTCAGGAGTACAGGAGGCCTTGTGGCTTCTCCTGTCTTTGGTTCTTTTCTGCACAGCTGCCAAGCAGGTCAGTGTGTGAGAGGTCAGCTGGGGATGGTCAGGGATCTGGGGACAGGTCCACTCTGCCTTCTTTAATTTTCTCTCATCCTTACCAGTGTCCCTAATCATTCCAGTCCTTTCTCAGGGTTCAGAGGCTCCTTGCAAAAATGCCTGATTCTAGGCCTTTCATTGGGAAATCACAGCATGATCCTGGAGCATCTCATGCAGTCAGAAAATAGGAGGTGCTCAGAAGACTAAAATGTAAGTGCAGGGCTCTAGGAAAGGCATCAAACCAACCAGAGAGAACTGCCAATGGCCCAAACTGGAACAGAGTGGCACAATATATTTAACATTAGTATTAGAGTGTAATCCACAGAAGAAAATAAACATCCCTGCGTCTGTACTGACAAATAAGTAATTGAATACATAAAAGAGGTAGAAGGGTTAGCTGTTCCTTACTGAAGAAATGTAGGAGGAATGAGAGAAATAGAAAAAGACCATTACAGCACCGCAACAGTAATTGGGCAAGATCCTTTGATGAAGCTTAAAGTAGGCAAAAATTTGAGGAGAAACAGGGTATTTTCATAGTCTCAAAGTCTCCTATCCCCTCAGTACTTTTTTTTTTTGTAAGGGGAAGGAATAACTTTATAGTGAAGCAACTGGGCAGATGCCACTTCAACCAAGTAGTCACTGTTAGCCTGAGCAGGAAGATGATGTTTCAGACCCCTGCTTGCGTGCTCTGGGGAGGTGCCTGTCTCTGTGATCTTCGCAATAACACATAACTTCATTCAAATCTTGTGGAAACATTAGACAAACCAACGTGAGAGGCATTGTCTAAAATAATTTACCCATAGGCTTCAAAAGTTGTAAGGCCATGAGAGACAAGGAAAAACTGGGGAACTCTGACAGATTAAAGAGAAGCAACAACTAAGGCAATGTGGGACCCTGGATTGAATCTTGAACAGAAAAACGATTGTAGTGGGAAAACTGGTGAACCCCAGATTAAGTCTGTAGTTCAGTGAATTGTATTGTGCTAATGTTAATTTCTTAATTTTGTTAATTGTACCATGGTTGTACAAGATGCTGACAATGAAGGAAGATGGGTGAAGTTTATACAGTACTATATATATATTTTTTAAAGATTTATTTATTTTATTTATTTATTTGTACAAGCACTGGGTACAGTTCAGAAGCGCGGGAGAGTGAAAGAATTCACCAGAGCCAGAGCGGGGAGCAGAGCAGGCAGAAGGACCGAAGTACACTGCTGAGGGGAGCAGCGGGCGGCAGGAGGGGTCTGTGTGCCATGTGGGACCTTCGCCCAGTGGCCGGGGATCGAACCAGTGCCGCAGAGGCTGCGGGCAGCTTCGCAACCCGGCGCTCAACCGCTGCGCCACCGGGGAGGCCCTATACAGTACTATTTTTGCAACTTTTCTGTATATCTAAAACTATTTTAAGTTAAAGTAAAGAAGTATTTAGGTTGATATATTTCATTCTTCATATTTTGATTTGGTTTAGCTTAATTTTTAGTGTTGACTTGGGAAGTAGATTAGTGGAAAATGGGGGTCACCCCAATCCCAAACTGTCTTATCTGATGTATCCACTAAATTGTTTAGAGGGCTACCTGAACAGGTGAGTTTCTCCTCTGCATCTTTTGGTTTTGAGGATACAATAGGAGCTTAGTTTCCACATGGGCTATAGACTGGTTGCTACATGAAACTGCATGGGCTTCGTACTCAGAAAGATATGAATTAAAAATCCCGTCTCTGAACTGCGTGATTATGACTACTCTAAGTCTGTGTTCTGATTGTTAAAATACCTAACAGTCCCGACTGGCAGAATTGATTTGGGAAAAAGAGCTAAGATATGTAAATACCTAACAGATGGTATATAGGAGTGGGTGGTATGTGTTATTTGTATTATTGACTGTTGTTGTTTTTACAATTGTTATACATTGGCTAAGTCTTGGTAAGGCAATTGCGTGATGAAATACAGCCATGAATAGCAAGTCTGTAACCTACAAACGTGTGATGACTCCTTTTATAGGCAGAATGACCATTGTTATGATCAAAGGGAAAATGGGGAACATGAGCCTTAGATAATGAGAAAAAGGGGCTCAAAGCTTGGATATATTTTTTTCAATGGAAAATAAAACCAATGAATTATTTGGATAGAAAATTAATCAACAGAGAAAATAAGTAATTTAGGAAAGCTGAAGTGGAACTTACCTCTGCTTTGGGAGTTGGTGGTGTGCCTACAACTCTTCACAACTTGATTTACGGTAAACCATTGTGGAATATTAAATATTTAGCGCTATTACATTTGGAGCACCATATGTTTAACAAGATGTCTCATGCCCCATATGCTCTGAAAATGGTGAGGACAGAGTCAGTAAATGATGACTATCTTTTGCTATTTTAATGGCAAAGGCCTAAAATTTCCATTATTTAAAAAATTTCCTATAGGAATGGGCAGATTGAATATTGGTCAATAAAAATACCCTTTAGTTTCTGCCACATTCATCTTCTGAAGATCTCATATAATCTTAGTTACCTAAGATTAGGGGAAAGGTAGGTGTTAGTCACCTTGTTTTACTGAGGAGAAAGCTGGCACTAGAAGTTTAGAAGTATTAGAGGAAAGAATTCCAGAGAAAATGGTAGTATTTGACTGAAGTCCAGGTATCCTCCCTAACTCCCTCCCCGCCCCCCCTTAAATCTAGCATATTCTTTACAGGACTTCTGCTCAGATGTTTGGGTAACTTCTCATTGGAAAGATGCATTTTTTTTTTTAATTTAAAGACTTATTTATTTATTTATACAAGCACTGGGTACAGTCAGAAGCGCGGGAGGGTGACAGAATTCACCAGAGCCAGGGTGGGGAACAGAATGGGCAGACCGACAAAATACACTGCTGAGGGGAGCAGCAGGCGGCAGGAGAGGTCTGCGCGCCATGTGGGAACCCCGCCCAGTGGCTGGGGATCCAACCGGCACTGCAGAGGCTGCGGGCAGCTTCGCAGCCCAGCGCTCAACCGCTGTACCACCGGGGAGGCCTGAAAAATGCAATTTTGAATTAACTGGATTTCATAATTCTAGCTTCTGTGGCTAGGATTTGAAGTATTTATTCTTCTGACTTTCCCTTCTTGCTCTTCCACCTTTTTCCCTTTCCCAAAGCTAGCTGGGGGGTTATCATTGTTATAATCACTATATAGTGGCTAGGTCTATGTGAGGCAAATGCAGAGGAAATACAGCCCTGAATAGCAAGTCTATAACCCAGTCCCTAGAACTGAGGAAGAACCCCATTCCCAGCCTGGCCAGAGGGGGGATTATACAGGACTTGGTGGTAGGTGGTTGGTTTATGGTCTGCAGGAAATTGGGCCCAGTGCTTTTGACTTTAACTTCCCTATTTCTAATCATCTGTTAAACTCATATATGCCAATTTTGTTGACTTTTCTAACTTAAAGACTGCCCTGGCTTTTTTTTTTAAATATCTATTAGCTTTATTTTCAATGCAAAAGCCAACTCTTTGCGTATGATTTTCGTAGCAATTCAAGTGACAGATCAGTTAATAAGTAGTTTAATTAAAATCTATTTCGCTTTAAGCAGAAATCTTTCCTTCTCATTGTTTTTATTTTTTAATCTGCATTTAGACATTAAACATTTTCTTTTGATCTTAGTTGTTTTTTAAAAATTATTTATGTATTTTTTATATCATTTTTCATTTTTATACAATGTATGCATTTTCATCTCAGGTGGGAAGAGCACAAGGGACCATGGTGACTGATGACAAGACTTCCTTGTCTCAAGGGTCTTCACTTTGGAGACCCACAACTCAGGGACAATGTCCGCCAGCCCTCCTGTGTTGGGCACTGTGTTTCTTGTGGTCCTGGGACAATGGGGGGTTCGCTATGCATTCTGATAGCAATAAACAGGGAAACCCTGGGTGCACGAACATGGCTGAACCCTGATGCCTCCTTGCTCCAGATATAATTACATAAAAACCTCAGGGCTTTTTATTTTGGTGGCCAGAAAGATGTAGTGGGCCTATTAGTGAATTTTATTAATAATAGAAAAAGACCTTGTCTATGTTAGTGCAATTTGCTTTTTCTAGAGGCATCTTTGTGGA